CCAGAAGACTGATGAGTGGCTGCAGCATCAAGATCGCGTCTCTGATGGCTTCGCTATGTTTTGGTACTTACAAGTTGACTGCCGAGATTGTCATGATTTACATTTACATGGATTTTCATGGCTTTTGCATGGGTTTTACTTTGAGTGCAAACTTCCACTTGTGAGCATGAGAACTAACGTGGCAGCTTTTGAGATGACTAGATTGTCCTGTGAGCACTGTTGGTTCGATACCGTATCTTTCGGATGTGGGAGGGACGACTCCCCTGGTGTTGCCGAGGTCAAGCTCTTAATTCTAACAGGTCAACGCTCACAAGATGAATCAGATTCTCGAAGCATACAGGTCTGCCAAAGACATCGTGATGTTCGTATGGTAGTTCACTCAGGTATGGTTCAGTGCAGTCGTCGCGAGGGTATCTTGCAGCTCAACAGCGGAGTGTATGCAGGTGAAGACATGCTCATCAGCAGGTCGTGCACGCCACAGCTTGGCAATCGTTGTCTTTCTCATACAGAGGACTGTGATTATTTGGGTGCTTGTTCAACTTTTCACCAAGACGATTCCTCAGATGAGATTCTGGCACGGGCCTATCATGATTGTGGCAATGACACAGTGGCCGACTGCATAGATAAGAGCTCTCATGCACACATTGCCAGGTGGTCCTTATTCAAAGATGAGTGGCATTCTCAGTCCATCCAGACAGCATGTGCTCTGGGTATTTGTTCAATGATTATGGCTGTATGCCGGAGTACATGCTTCGCAACATCGCTTATTGCCAGATCCGGTCCCAATTCCGGAGGAGGTGGAACTAGAGTGAAACATTTTTCGATGCTTATTTGGATTTTAGTGTGTTTTACGTCTATTGTTCCCACCTCTAGCGCGAGGGTTGTCGACTCCACCACAGAGTCGACGAGAGGCTCTGCTGAGCCGAAGCATAGTGGTGAGCAGGTTTCTTTGTACACCGGGTCCAACACTTACAGTGCCATTCGCAAACGTTCCTTCAAGAGGGCATGTAGAAGGGCATTGCATCACCCACAAGGTGTTATGTATCGGGGGCGCCGGTTCACAGCACAACAGTTGGGCGCACAGTTTGTCTCAGCTCATCCCAAGCAGTCTTCACGAATACCTGTGAGAAGATCATCTCCGCCAGAAGTTCACCGCGTTCGCCTTCTATGTTGGAACACAGGTGGGCTGGGCAATGGACTCTTTGATGAGCTGATGACTTGGTTGGAGTCCAGTAACCTAGATGTTATATGCATCACTGAGACTCGTTGGCAGTTCACCTCGAATTGGAGTACCTGCCGCTGGCACTGCATTCACAACGGCCCGGAGCCTGGTAGTCGTGAGAAGTCAGGCGTTCTGATCATGATCTCGAACCGCCTCGGCACAGCAGAACAACTACAATTCGAGCATTTGGTCCCGGGACGTATTACTCATGCTAGAGTTTTTCTCGAACATAATGCCTTGGATATTTTCGGAGTGTATCAAAAGGCGTGGAGTGGACGAGCAAAGGAATCTCTCCAACAAAGGAAGATCATTTGGAAAACTCTCGAAGATCACATGAGACTTATCCCGGATCGAAATGACCTCGTTCTTCTCGGTGACTTTAATGTTTCCCCGGGACAACATAGTTCCAGTTTTGGCCCGGCAGCGTGGCCAGCAACTCAACACCAGGCATCTGACAGTGCCCATCTCCGACGCATTGCAGATGACCACCAGTTGGTAGCTCTGAACACATGGGAAAACAAGGAGGAGGCCTACACATATACATGGGGAGAGGTGCGTAGTCAAATTGACTTTATCATGGTGAGAAAGCACAGAGCTGACTCAATTGCTCGTTCCGCTCATCCCACCCGTAATTTCCCGGTTGGACAGTGGCGTGAGGGAGCTATTCACCTTCCCATCTTTGCTAGTGTTCCACGACCATGGCGGACCCCAAAACCCAGGGATGGTGTCCGCGATATCAGGGTGGACACGGAGAGTCTCATCGCAGACCTACAGCACGGCTCAGAACGCCTCACTGAGATGCGATGCTTCGCTCGATCCTTACTTTTGCAGTGCAGTGACCTGAATGCTTACAGTGATGCTCTGCTGAATGCGGCAACGAAGTACTACCCTTCCCAAGTCAGGCCCCAAGCTATCAAGCCGTGGCAAGATGTCCAAATTGTCTCTCGTGCGAAAGCTATGTGGACCTTGTTCAGAGAGATGCGTCAACATTCCACTATGGGTCTGTCTCGACCATTTCAGGCTTGGCGCAAATGGTCGCAATTCCAGAAAATGCACAAAGAACACAAGAAGTTGGGTAAATCCTTCAGGCGCACCCGACGTTTGAACCTTCTTCAAGAAGCTGAACAAGCTGCGGCCAAACATGACATGCGTAGTCTGTACCAGCTGGTCGAACAAATAGCACCGAGGAAGAGGCGCATGCAAATGCGTATTTTGAACACTCAGGGCGAGTTGCAAACGAAGGCGGGCATGTTGAGAGATTTGCGGACGCATTACACTGAGAGATTTCGTGCCAACAGTCGTCATGAACATCGATTTCACGCAAATGCCCGACAGCTTCCGTATTCGATCACCTTATCCGAAGATGAGATCATACATAATCTTCGTCGAATTCCGCTTCGCAAGGCTGTTCCTGCAGGTTGGGCTCCCGGTCCGGTGTGGCAAGCTTGTGCTGACGACATTGCCCCTCTTTTGTACCATGCTCTCCAAAATCTCTGGCATCAGGGTGCTCATGATATACCTACTTCATGGGTTAACGCTTGGCTTATCTTCCTGATCAAAGGTGGTAAATGTGGCCATAAAGCTGCTGATTATCGACCTATTGGTCTACTTTGTCCACTTGGTAAGGCAGTACTGGCGGCGATCACAGCTCGAATATCCCCACACGTGCACACGATGGCGGGTCGCTTTCCTTTACATGGTTACTTGCCGGGCAGAGGTACACATACAGCCTTACGACGAGTCTTTCAACACTGTGAGGATGTCCGCAAACTTTGTCTCGAATCGGCAGCCTCGATCCACGACATGAAGGCTGGCAAATTCAAGCCCAGATGTGTGGGTGGACTTCAAGTGTTCATTGACTTATCCAAAGCCTTCGATGTTTTACCAAGGTCAAAGCTTTACGATGCCCTCATACAATCAGGTGCGCCAAGGGCTGAGATCGAGTTGGTCATGCTATGGCATGTTCGTGCCCACTACTTCTTGAATGACGATCGTAACTCGCCGGGTATAGCTACTTCTCGCGGCGTGCGTCAGGGATGCAAAGCTGCACCAACTCTATGGCTGGCGTTTTCTGCGCTAATCTGTGAACTTTTGGACAAAAGATTGTACCCAGGTTGGTGTGGTGAACACTTGGTGATCTACGCGGATGACCATCATGTCTCCTTCTGCTTTCGTACGCTGTCGGAACTTGAAGCTGCTCTCCACGCGATAGGCATCATCTATACAGTTCTTCACGCTATCGGCATGGAGGTTTCTGCGTCTAAGTCGGCCTGTATCTTTACATATCGAGGTACTCTCAAGGGCACAGTCCACAAACGCTTCGTTGGCCAGATCAAAGACCAGAAAGTCCTCAAAGTCCCGAATGGTGCCTCCACACTGCATATACCAATCGTGTCTGAGCACGTTTACCTGGGTACTGTGGTCAGCTACTCTCAGTACGAGACACAAACACTTCGACACCGCATTAACATTGCAAGGTCTCGCTATTTCCAGCTCAAAACGGTTTTGAACAACCGAAGCCACATGACACGACGAGATAGACTAAACATGTGGAAGACGTGCATTTGGAGCACTATGAGCTACGGCCTGGTGGAGTGTGGTGTGACCAAGCAGGGTTGCGTCACTCTGCAGAGCATCATGCTACAACACGTCCGCGCGATCGTTGCCTCTCCAGCCCACATCGACAAAGTATCGGATGCTGAAATTCTCCGCAAATATAACCTCTTGGCGCCGCATGGTCTTTTGCTCAGGCTGGCATCCAAGCGCTTGGAAAACGCATGCCACCGTGACCCTAACAGGCCGTGGACTGCTTGGTTTCAAAGCGCACCTTGGGCTGTGACCGTTCGTGATACTTTGAAGGCTCTGCAGATTGACTTCATGGCGGCCGAGAGGGCTAAGACCTTCACTACCTGTGACGTTGTCTCGGTTCAAGACATGCCACCGATTGCTACAACAAGTCCTGACGCTGATGCTGCTCCTCTCAGGTCTGCTGCCACTGAGCCCTCCGGAAAGTGCACCTGTGCTTCATGCGGCCAATCCTTCGACACTCAGCGGTCACTGCGTGTACATGAAGCAAAAGCACACAAAATCTTACCTGACAAATCCGGTGTCTTCGTAAAAGCCTTGCACGCCAAAGATGGTCTACCAGTTTGCGCCAGTTGCGGCAAAAAATTCTCGCGATGGAGTGGGCTTGCACGCCACATTGAACAACACCGGTGCCCTGGTGCTCGTGATGCTGCTCCTAGTACATCCAATGCCTCCACGCTGGCTGCAGGTATCCGACATGACCCGGAAGCCATGAGTGTACTCCGTCAACAGGGTTTGCATCAGTTCGCTTTGCATGGTACCTATGGTCGTATCCTCAAACAATCATGTGCATGGTGCGGGCAGTGGATCGCGTCTCCATATATGGTGAAAAATCATTACCACAACTCACATGCTGATCTCATACAGCGACTTGATTCCTCAGTGCGTTCATTTCTCAGTGATATTAGTCCCGAATCCCCGTGCGCTTACTGCACCTCCACCGCGAAAGAGAAGGCTCGCCATGTTCCGCGTTGTGCAGTGCTGTTTCAAGCTGCGTTGCTGTTGGCTTCACTCCAGGATGGCGATTCCACCACCGACGGAGCAACTACAACAGCTCTTCGGGGGAATACTGTCGTCGACAACAGAACCCGACGATCCCAGCTCCAGACCAGCCAAAACACCCAAGTTCAATCAGCAGCCAGCCAAGAGCAACGGGAAGGGGAGGGGCGGGGCGGGGTGGCACCCCAAAAGAAGCCGAGCCAGCACTCACACAGCACAGCCGACGCACACCAACGACGACATAGAGCATCTAATCAACCTCTTGAGCAGACTCGTGCTTCGGCACGAAGAGGCCATATCTGTGCTGAGACAAAACACTGGATGGGTTATGTATCTACAGACGCCGAAACATGCTTGCTCAGTGGTGACCATGCTAGTACAACTTTCCGTGAAGTGGCATCAGGAAACCCAGATGGACACCCCAGTCAG